CGTGCGCCGAATTTGAATTTGGCGGTACGAGTTGACCAATAAGGAATTAGTCCTACGCGTTTCGAGATATTTCGATTCGGGCGATCTTCATTTTTGTGTTTCTACTTTCATAAAAAGGATTGTGAAATGATTCAATAATTCAATCATATTCATCTCTATCTAATTCCAATGCAGCTTTCAATGTTCCTGACTTTCATTTTTAATTTTAATTAATTCCAATTTTATTTTTTTCATAATAATATTTATGAAGATCCACCAAAAAATCTAGAAGAATATCCGCAAAAGGGCGTCACATTTCTTATTTAATTCCTCATCTTACACCCTAATCTTCAACTTTTAATCGAAAAATCATTGATTATTCTTCTGCAATAACCAATTCTTCGTATTCACTTATAAAAAACGATTTCTCTAACATCAAAATACTAGAAGCCATCATTAAAACTACATTTAAATTCCAGTAACAAATTAATCTCTATTCTCAATCCTATGCACTTGAATTCAATTAATTAAAATTGAACAACGGAATATAATTAAATAATATAATCAATTAATGAAAAACACTCAGTAACTTTGAGGTTCTAATTAAAAATTTTAAAAAATTGTGTTCTTCATGTTATTATTGTATTTAATTTTCCCAACAATTTTTTTTTAATCTCACTTGTAATTTTCCAACAGAACAATAATTACCTAAAATCGCCAATAATTGTTTTACTGACGCAAATTCGATTGACAAAAGTAATTGTTTTTCGGTGTCATTTTTGTTAATTTTGTTAATTTTTTAGTTAAACACTGTTTGGGTGAGTTGCAATGGATCTCACGGCCTGGACAGAGAACTTCTCCGGGATAGTATCGAGTACTTGCCTCGTGGTCCCCAAGGATTCCCCGGATATTATTACCCTTACACGAATACAAAAGGATATCTCAGTCCACTGGTAGCTGTCCATTTCCGTCGTCCAGCAGGTAACAAGAACAAAATTACTTCCTACAGAAAGAAAAACCTTTTAGTTGCAAGTAGCTAATGAATTTTTTTCATTTCAGTGAATCAACTGATTGGAGTGGAGTGTCGTGCATGGGCGAAGAACATAAAGTACGATAAGAAAGAGAAATTGGGAATGGTCGCGTTCAATCTTCAAATCGACGACAGACCAAAACCAGAGCTGAATAGTACAGAAAAAACGAGTGAACAGCGTCAATAGACTCGTAATCCTGTGATGAAATGACTATATTGTCATTCATCTACACGGGGAGAACAAATCAGTAAAAAATACCTAACCGTTTAGTAATCATGTTGTTCTAGTCGCTGGAAGAAAATTACTTATCGCTTACTAAAATATTTCAACTGCTTAGTAATTGTTATCTAGCCATTCGACGAAAAATTCCCAAACTTTCCAGTAATTTTTCTCAAACTGCTAGATTACCTCTACCAGTCGACAAATTTTTATTATTAAAATAGTAACAATTGTTTAGCTGTTCGGGAAAAATTACTTGAAATTTAGATATCTACTTATTTATCTCTTTTCAAACGGTTGTATAACTTTTATGTATTACTTTTGCAATCGACAAATTTTACTGAGCGATACCACAATTTTTTACTAAAACTTTTTACTAAAACAACGATTATCAAATGGATAGGTAATTTTTACTGTATTTTTCTCTTAGTGTACTCGTAATGGTGGCTTAACTTATTGCCTTAGCACTGAAAAAAAAATCAGGGCACTTAATCGATGTACTTACAAACTGATGAGTATAATTATCAGTCGACTTCAAAAAGTGTGTAATGTACTGTTGAAAGTAACTGTATCATCGCGTCAGTTACGATTTTTATGTGACATATTACCTGAGTATTTTTAAACATTTTTCAACTTGTGATAATCACAACTTAAAGTCCTACTCGTGTTTATTATTCTTTTATAGTTTTGGTAGTGTTAATCGTGTTAAGAAAAATTTGTTAGTGTTTGACGAAATGAAATTTTGTTGCGATAGCAAAACAAAATTTATTTTACGACGAATGACACGCGGTTGTAAAAATAAATTGCAGATTTATTAGATTGAGTTCCAGAAATACTGTTTTTTCATTAATTTATGTCGCCACCTTTTTTAAATAAACATAACGCATCTTTCGTGTTCCATTAAAAAAAATACAGGTGTAATAAAAAAATGAAATTAAATAGACAATTTCATCGTCCCGGAGAGCGACGAAGAGATACATCTCTCGGTAGAATTATTTGATGAAGGTTCTATATTCCTCCCTGCAGCAACAATCAATTCTTTATAATAAGATCTATAATAAAAAAATAATAAAAGCTGTGAAAGGGTGGAACCTAATGTCAAAAAAATATCAGAAGTTCTCTTCGTTGATTTTGGATCTTAAAAAGACACATGCCCCTTCCACTTAATGGGCAACCTATTCAATGCTGAAGAGTAGGCTTGTAGCCTACGGAAACATCGATATTTACACTTGATTTCGATTATTGAATCTCCCGAAACAAAACGGAACGAGACACGTACCTAAAAAGTTTAGATAATTAACAGAAGAACAAATTCGTAAGATAATTTCTTTTGCCCCAAATAATCAGTATTTACTTATTGTATTTACCACTGAAATAAGTAATAGTAAATATAATAATTAAATTATATGAAAGTCAATTATATGAAATAATTTCAGGAGATAGTACTGGAGATTTAAAATGTTTGCACGCGGAATAAACAAAGGACCACTGATAAATTTCAATGGCAGTAGATGTTTTATTTCTTAAAATATTATTTTCATTCCAAAAAAATCTGCAACAATATTATCTACCTAATAATAGTGATAGATTCTTACATCTAAACGTGCATGGAGGAGTATTAATGTCAACACTGTTTTGTATTTAAAGAGATATTTCCAGCGGAATTAATTGATATGGTACAAATCACAGAGAGATCTATCGGATCAATCGTAACGCGCGATATTCGAGGGAACAAATACGTTGTATAATTATCGAAAACATCTACAAACTATTCACTCAGAGTTACGACGGAGTCAATTTTGTGAAATGATGGAACACATAATTAAAATCACTCGATTTATAATGCATTTATCTGAGAGGCAATTGATTTCGGTTAAAAAAATGGTGAATGGTTTCATTTTTCTACTCCAGTTCCTTCGTAATTGAAAACATCTTATCATTGATAAGATTATTAAAAGAAAGAGTCGAGAATTCAAAAAGTTCGCGAAGATTTAAAATAAAGAATGTTTTGTAGTATCAATTAAGGATGATTGATTAATTATTATTGATGTGAATAATTCATCAATTTTTGTGTTCCATCACTTCACGGTGCACATCATGAACTGTCTTCATTTTTATGAATTCCATAAGAATTTTTTTTCATAAAGTCGAAGGGTCCGAGGAAGTCTTGGCTAATAACGAAAAATTATCAAAATGTGTGCTCCCAAGATATCGAACTGGACTTATCTGCCTCGGAGTGAAATCCATGGATTAATTAGACTAACATAAACTCAATGGAAATTTAATTTTTCCAATTGACATATGCAGAGTGACATCTGCAGAGTATAGAGTTCAAAAATTACAGTAAAATGCAATAAAAAATTAGAAGATAGTGGGACCTATCGAGTCGTATTTTGGATTTGCGTTTGGACTTGTCAAAAAATCTGTGACAGAGAAGTTCAGTGGGGGATCTCGAGGTGCATGAAAAATAATTTTCCTGAATTTTCCAAGTTTTTCTAAAACCCGTCACATATTTACAATAAATGTCACGGTAACACATATAAATTACACAATTAATATCTTTCAATTCCGATTGATTTATGGAATGAACCGCTGAAAGCTGCTACAGCTGCTATTATAATACAATTTTTCAAAACTACAAGACACTTTTGGTGATGATTTTCCATAATTTCTTAGATTGACATTTGTTCAGACTTTGGGTGAGTGACTTAAAAGTATATTGTCATACAAAAGAAGGCGTTTCGGAAGAACCAACACGATATTTGTCTCTCAGATATTAATTTCCGGGATTCTGTGAGATTCCTACATGATTTCGAATGAAGCTCTTCGATTAATCGATCAAGAGCTCGAAATGTACTGATCCTATTTTGTCGTTTCTGTGGTGTTTGATGTTTTTCGCCCAAGCTTTGCACTCGACGTTGATGATGATCCCAGCTGAAAAGGAATAAACCGTTAGAGAAAATCAGAAAAACTATGAAATCAAATTCTACTTCACGAGACCTACTGCGCACGCCGTGCGCCGAATTTGAATTTGGCGGTTCGACTCGACCAATGAGGAATTAGTCCTTCGCGTTTCGAGATATTTCGACTCGGGGAAACTTCATCTTTGTGTTTCTACTTTCATAATAAGGAAAATAAGGATTCATAATAAGGATATGTATAGCCTCCCTTTCGGGATTCAAATTTTGTTCCCATCTCCAATCCCATCTGTACCGAGATTCGCATTTGCATTTACACCGAGAGCCGAAGGGAAAACTTGATGAGAAAAACCTTCGCCAGTCTTTTTTTCGAGACTAGCACTCGGATGATAAAAAAAAATGTAAATAAGAGCGATAAAATAGTAATTTATGATACAACGGCTGAAAAGTATTTTAAGAACGTATTTTCCCACAATCAGCGTCTTCCCGATCTATTTAAATCATTAAATCAAAAATAGTAATTATATAATTATAAAATAATTATTAAAAATTATATAAGACTAATTATATAATTACTATTTTTCAACTGCTTCGTCAATGAAGAATTGCATAGAAAGTTCATGCCACTCTATCGTTGTTGGAAGTTTATAATTTTGTCGCTTTAAATTTGAATTATGAGTTATTTTGTGTGAAATGACTCAAATAATTTTAAAACATCTACAGAAGATGAGAATACGTACGTCGTGGACGCTCGAACTGTACTGCAACAAGGGGACTGAAGTACCCAACATTATTATAATACGGATAATAGTAACCAGGAAATCCCTGTTTAGGATAGAATCTGATAGGTCCAATATTTTCTTGATCGGCTGGATTTTCTCCCTCACATGACACCCATATCGTATTCAAATGGAGTGAGTTTTCCTGTTCTAATCTCCGAATCGTTCCTTTCAGCTGCTCGGGCATTTTTGAGGGAAGGTCTTTGGTCTCATTGTAGTACTCTGGTATCCATCCATAAATCTGCACAGAAATACAAAACAAGGTGATAAATAAATAAATAAAAAACCTGATGAGTTCAAATAGATATGAAAACTTTAATTCATTTAAAATTTTTTTCATATTTTGATTATTGAAAAAAATATAGCCCACACATTACCTAGTTTGTGGAATATTCAATGTATCGTTTTTCAAATTTACAGTTCAGAAATAATGATGCGCATGAAAATTATCAGATAATCAGGAGAGTTCGATAATTTAAACCTTCTCGTTCTAACCGATGCCCTTTCGATTCTAGAATTTAATTTATTATCAATTCCGTCACATGATTGCATTGAAAATCATTTTTTTTTAAATATTCCGGCCCTTTGTGCCCTGTTCTGGCTAATTGAACCTCTGCACCCTATACATCCTAGACTGTACCGTATTCACTCTTCTATAGAACATAGGAATGACATGGGGAAACCACAGAAAAAACCACGTCGGTACAGGTGATTGCTCTATTAGCAACCTCCCGCTCATCAGTACCTGTTGAAAAATTCGATTCAACGGGGAATCGAACTCACAACTTTAAGAAGACTAGGCTCGCACCTAGCCACTGAGCTACCGAGGTCGGTGTATTAAAAATCATTGATTTCATATCTACGAAATTCCATGAAGCAAATTTCAGTCATGAAGTCTCATTAAAGACCACTTTATGTCATAGGTACCCGTAATCACGCGATTCCAACCTCGATTCGCTCGGTAGAATCGCGGATTACGGGCCCATTGACAAAATAGTGGACAAAACACGTAAGTATGGATTTTTTTACTCGCCTTCGGCTAGGGTTACAACCCTCCCACGAGCCGAAAAATCCATTGCGCACTTGTTGCATAATATACTATGAAGTCATTGACTCTATTTTTTCCCGATGTCATCGAAGTCACTCAAATAAACTCCGAAAGCACGTGAAGTCGATTTCGTCTCGAAGACATGGTGTCACTCAATCAGGGAGTGAGTAATCATAATTAACGAGCATTAATGATCTTGAGGTTTACCTTATTCAACTTTAGGAAGACACACGGACTGGATTTGTGATATCCAAAGAAACCTTCTTCAGTACATGGCCCCCAATCTCTCACATTTACCGTACAGACTTTATCTTTCGGTACTTCCTGACCATAATCACAAGTTATTCCGTTCTGACCACGACCAGGTTCAGATCCAGGCTCCTTATAAGCTGAATAACAATAAAAAATCATTACATTAACATTAAACGAACGGACTCAACGCTCGATTTGTCACACCGAGAGAAAAATTCTCTAAAAAAAGAAAATAATAAAAATAAAAATATCAAAATGAAAAAAAATAAAATAAAAATTGGCAAAAAATTGGAAAATGACCGTACCACTTGGTAAAATTTCCAACCCCTCAGTAACTTTTCCGTCATTTCTAAAAAAACGGTTAGATAACTTGTACTAAGCAGTTGACAAATTTTAGTAAGAGGTACAGTAATTTTTCCCGAATGATTAAAACATGATACGATTACCAAACGGATGGGTCATTTTTACTGACTTTTTCTCTCCGTGTAATAGCGTGTTATGACACAAGTGGAAAATGGGGGAATTGCCCAAGTGTTTCCACCTCTTTATCGTTGAGATGGATCAACTACTTACGTTTGAGGAATGCCTTGAGGGATTGAATCCAATAATCATAGTTCGATGCATTAGTTCCCTTGAACCAGATCAGTGTACTCTCAACGTTGTCTGCTGGAGGCATTGGCCTAAATCCCATTCCTGTCCACATAAAATTCACGAAGAATTATTAGTAATTAAATATTCTAATTTAATTATCTAATTGATTAATTGACAGTTATTCGTATTTCTCAGAAACCGTTTGACTAATTTTTAAAAGAGCAGAGAGAAAAAAATATTCTTGAGACAAGTATAAAAAATATTACATACTCGAATTATTATTATTATTATTATTATTAATATTATTATTATTATTATTGAGAATACAATAAACTTCATTCAAATATTTTTATTTTATTTCTGTGTGAAAATGAAAAAATTAAATGGAAGAAAAACGATAAATTACCTGGATTTGTACCAATTATTGATCTCTCTAATTGCCATTTTGGTATTCTTGGATCCAGAGTTGTGGAGAATGCACAGTAACAAATGGCGACTAAAGCAGCGAGAACTCCGTAGAAAATTAAATAGAATATCCCAATTTTTCCTGAAACCAAAATAAACATGAAAATTATATTCTTTTAAATATTCAGAAAATTTGAGAGAGAATATTTCAATGTGAGATTTCATCATCGATGTTTGACGATTTACCATTCTTTACTTTTTTCTAAATCCAAATGGTCTGATCTGTTATTATAATGCTGCTACAAATTTTGATTTGAAAACTCAAGCAGAAAAATTTCAAATTAAAAAAATGACGAAATGACGGGAAATGACTGTGGAATTCAAAATTTATTTATTCTAATTTATAAAAAACTCGAAAACTCAATTTTCAGATCGGATAGCTCAGTTGGAAGAGCACCCATAAGTGCCTTTTTAATAACCATTTTTAGGCCCACTTTCCCAGCCAATACCAATATTGTTGAAACTAGCGTTTCCTTAATCTTTATTATTAATTAGCAAACAATGTTTGTGAATTTAGAAGATGATTTAATCATCAGTAATTGCGATTTTGAATGTCATGGTACTGTGAATCCTTTTATTTGATTATGAAATAAGTTTCTTGGTGCGTTAACTTATATGTTGTACTTTACCCTATGTTTTTTTTCGGCCAATATACGTACTTTAAAAAAAAAAAGTTGGGAGACCACCCGATGCATAATCGGAAGGTCCCGGGTTCAAATCCCGGTCTGGACTATCCATTTTTTCAGTAATTTTTCTTGTCAAAATTATATCGAGAATTATCCTGTTCTCCTTCCTACTTAATCTAAAAATCCTATCCAACGACTCCTTTGACGTCACAAAAATGTGGAACGCTATAAAAACTTCCCGTCATCAGAAAACATTAAAAATTCAGACAACTTCTCTGAAATGTCGATCCACGAAAAAATGAATTCCATATATTCAATTTTCACCATGAGCTTGTTATCAGGAATTTCAAGCGAAACTGGACATTTGATACTTGAAGCAAGTACTTGGTACTTTCATACTGGTAAAATAACCTGATAAAAATTTCCTTTTACTTCCAGACAACTACAGGGAGAGAAAAATTCGGTAAAAATTACCTATTCGTTTTGTTTCAGCCAGTCGGAAAAATGACCGTACCACTCATTAAAATGTCTCGCTTGTTTAAAAGTTATACTAACCATCTGAGAAAAATGACCTCAAAGTTCGGTAATTTTTTCTCGAATGACTAGCTAACAGCAGTTGCTCAGCAATTGACAAATTTAACTAACTGATACAGTAATTCTCTCCAACCGTCAAAAAACACCACACGGTTAGGTAATTTTTCCTGAATTTTTCTCTCTGTGTGACAGCTGTGTAATGTCAACAGATTAATTACGTTAATCCGTACGTCAATTTATAAAGAGGATGAAAATGTCTAGTCAAATGGAGCAATCCAATTACACCGCGCTGATTCAATGTTTCGTCAAGGTCATTTCTGTTATAACTACATTCCAGCATCCTGAATGAAGCCCGGAAAACGGAAGTCACTAATATCTTTTTGCAATTGGATTTTCCTATTTTAATTTGTCATACTTGCAACTGATTCACTGTCAGAAGTTTCTGAAATTAAGAGGAGAGTTTCTCTCCAACATTTTCCAGAGGATTTCCCTGACAAATTCCCTGAGGATTTTCTTGGGGATTTTCCTCAGGGACATCAAAGTACTTTAACGGACTTACCGTAATTGCTCATGAAATGGTAATTAATTTATTTATTATTTCAATTATTTTCCGGTTGTTTTTGAAATCGTTCTTTGAAACAGGAATGCATGGATACCCTTTTGGTGTGGCCCTAGGCTTACGTAATACTGTAATACCACCATTTAATGTCAATTGACCTCGTTGTAAACGTTTCTACTAAGGGAAGTTTAACAATTGCCATTCGCCAGCTCTGGAAATTTTTCTATACACGTAGAATTTTCGGAATTGTTCTTCATTCATTGAGAAAAAATGTTGGAGATGCTAGAGTAAAATGGGCAGCCATTCTAAATTGTTGCAATGGTTTCAATTTTCAACAACTAAATTGCTGCAATCTTTCCAATTTTCAATAATTAAATTATTCCAATCTTTTCAATTTTCTCCATTTTTTAATGTAAAAACAAAGATAAATAGAAGAATCAATTATTTAGTAATTAGAAAATTAATATAAAATTAATTGACTGTCAAGTGACATTCTCCTAAAATTAAAAAATGTTAATATTGCGAAATAAATGGGTGATAATGATGTACATTATCTAATGGGATTGACATTTTAATTGGCTTCAACATTTTGTTATAAACTAAATTTATCGTGTCTTAAACAATGAAAAACTGATTTGTTCCCACAGCATTAATTTGAGAATAAATTGTTACAATCTTCATTTTCACAATTTTTTAATGTAAAAACAAAGATGAATAGATGAATCAATTATTTAGTTTATTTTCGTTTTTATCAATTTGAGATTGACTTTGATAATAATTCCAGTCACAATGTCCTCTGCATTTCCGATTTTGTGTGTTTGGATTCAATTTCAATTGAAAACTTTCGCTTACCGCCCATTCATTTCGAAAATTCAAAAAAATTTGCGTTTCGGTTTGAAGTATCATTAATTTTTCAATAGGAAATTAAAACCATTAAGTAATATTAAGTCAATTTTAACTAGATCCAAATTTCAAAAAAATTACTTCCAGAGTTCAACGCGAAAATAGTCATTGCTTCGATATAATAATCATCATCCATATATTATTAAATAAATATATTAAATAAAATAAATATTCTCTTCTGAAGACTTTCAAGACTTTCCTATTCTAAAAAGCACACGCGTGACACAATCGATTATCTCGAAAATCTCGAAATCATGAAGCTATGATTCCCTATTGGTCCCCCTAAAATGGCGCGAGATTACAAAAAGTCGAAACTCCCTTACAGAAATAATTTCATACCGGCGCGCAGGCGCGCAATACGAATTCTCGTTTTTCAAAAAATCTAGGGAAAAAACACTGACAGCAATCACCCGAGCCAAAAATACTTGAATCAAGTAAAAAAGTCGAAAAAATAATGAAAGAAAGAAAAAAATTGTTCACCTGCGGCAATTGTTCCTCTTGTTTTTTCATTATTTTTTTATATTCATTGGCGTGATTTCCGGATTACAATTTGTGTACCAGGTTTTAATATATTTTAGGCTATGATAAAATTTAAATATAAAATCACGTTCGATAGATACGCCTTCGTATTAATTTTTTTGGGACACCGTGTGAGAGTATTTTTTGATTAGATCAGAGCAAATGAAATTCTTTGTACTCTAATTACTCAATAGAATTACCCCGATTTCCTTAAATGTTATTAGATCTGGAGTCTCCCGGTCAATCTAAATTGAATTTTCGTGGGGAATTAGGCCGAAGGTCATTGTCAGTAAGTCGGTTCAATTCGGTTCAATTCGGTTCAATTCGGTTCAATTCGGTTTGCAGGAGTTACTCCCAGTCCCAGTTGGTAAAGAAAACGATGAATGAAACAACTAGAAATTGTCGGTATCGCAGTCACACCCGCAACAACTTGTAGCTGTTATCAAAAATAAAAAGAGGGGATCAGTAAATATCAGGTTATCAGTGAATATAAATATAAATAAAGGATGCTACCAAATAGCCGCCCACAATTCAAATGATCAAAATCGAGCGCGAGGTAGATTTAAAAAATAATAAAAATCTAAAACCAAAAGTGAATTTACTGAAAATAAAAATCACTTCCGCTCAATTAATTGACTTCTTCCCAGTGAATTTAAGTAATGGAATCTTAAGTGGCAGTTGATTGTTGTATCGATGAATTTTTAAATTGTCAACTAAATTTAATGGGTGAAAGTAATATTTTTATTTCATCAGTAAAGATGATCTAGACTGCGTGGGTGGAGATAAACCCAACGAGTTCTTTTCTGTCAGCCGTGAAGTAATTGCTATTGCATGACTCACTTGAAACATACCATTTACATGCTATAGTACAACCGGCGCTTATTCATCAATAAACAACGTGAATGAACAATTTTTTATGATTCTCACTAGAGAAATAGTACAAAATAGTACAAAATAGTAATGGAAATAATTATTGAAAAACGAGATTATTTAATTGGTGCAAACAGGAAAATTCTGCGATTCACAACAAGTAAAACAGAAATTGTCTGAGAAAATGACACGTTGCATTACTCATTGCATTACACATCGCACACCTTTCGTTCAATCAATTGACTAGCAACAAAACGTTTGTCATTATTTTAGTTATTATAAATTCAATTGCATACATCTGCATTTGAATTTGAATTTTAATTTGATATTTGAATATATATCCAGAGATATATGCCAATTATATCCAAGATTTATTCTGAATATATCCCATAGCTTGAAGAAAATATTAGATATATTAAAAATATTCCTTGGATATATTTACATTTGAATATACTTCATACATAATTCAAGAGTGAATTGCGCGAATAATTTCATTTCACATCGATTTTTCAATAGTTTATTTACTGGGGAGTAGTAATAAATATTTTTTAGTGAAGGTCAGCCCAAATAAATACACAGGTGTATCCACCATTGCCCATGGCTACCTGTGGTGGGGATTGACGCTTTAAGGGGAAAACGCGACATTTGTTCCACCAAAAATTTTCTCAAAAAATTTGATAAGATTATTGATAGCTACTCACCCCAACGACTGGGTGTCCTCCCCAGGAATGCACCAGTTAATGGATTGTAAAGGAAATTTTTAATTGACTGTCTTGTGGTTACACTGGGCGGTTTCTCGTACGGGTTCATCGACTCCGTCACCAACTCCTTCCTGGGGTCTTTAGCGACCATTTTGGTGATTATGTTAGGATGATTTATTTAATGGATTGTAGGATATTGTTGAGGTCTTGACGTTTGAATTTTGGGGTGAAGTTTGATTACAACGGTTCAGGGTTGGGCCAACTGTCGACCCGTCTGTTGGTACCCACTTTCCTGAATCAACTGAAGTTGTTAGAGCCGTTTCCACTCTCTCAATACCTCTACCTCTGCCCCCATGTACACTACCTCCTACCTTCTTCGTGTTTTATCCCTACTACCGTTTTTTCTACCGTAGGAGGCCAACACGTTCAACTACTTTGAGGGTTTTCGAAATTCGAGGAACAGATGCCAACGGACTGGAAGAAACAGAAGTTTATCTTCACTGCCACCAGACATTACTCTTCTTCTACATCCAGATCTAGTTGGAATTAAGGTTTTTTATTACTCTGGCGAACTTATGATGGGATCGACGTGAAAAATTATAACGGTTTTGCATATTGTTATTGTTTAAGGTTGTTTTGTAGCGGTGAAGAGAATTCCTTGGGATTTTGACAATGTTTTTGAAGAGATAACCGATGCCTGTGGAAAATTTGAGACTGATTCCCCTCATCGTTTTCTGGCGGTTAATTATTAAAGTTTTTAATTAACACAGCCACTTATGGGGAAAATAAAAATTTCTGTAAATATAGGCGAAATTTAAAATTTCGTTGGAATTTTGGAAATTTTGGAAAATTTGAGACTGATTCCCCTCATCGTTTTCTGGCGGTTAATTATTAAAGTTTTTAATTAACACAGCCTCTTATGGGGAAAATAAAAATTTCTGTAAATATAGGCGAAATTTAAAATTTCGTTGGAATTTTGGAAATTTATGGTGAGAATTTCATGCCGATTGACGAAAATTTTTTTTCATTAATTTGTTTAAACAAAAAATTTCTGTTAATATAATTTATAATTTAATAGCAATTAATTAATATTTATTGATTGCTATTAAATTAATTAATAGCATTTACTTGAGTAATTAATAGCAGCTGATGAATCCATAATAGTTAATGAACTAATTATTAATTTATTAACTATTAGTAATTAATTAACTGCTATTAATTAATATATAATTAATAGCGATTGATTTAAAAGCTCATCGGCTGCAGATTAAAGTACCAACATTTGACAGCTGCATCCGATGAGCTTTTTAATTAATTGCTATTTTCTTATTTTTATTGAAAAATCTGAACCTACGGGAGTTATTAATTTTTTCCTAAATGATTTAAATAGAGGAAAAATTGAAAAATCGATTTTAATACCGAAAATTATTATCATTATTCTTCTATGATGCTTGGAATTTCGTCCTTTGAGTTGATTAATTAATTAATTCACTCTGGCTTTTGTAGGAAAAAATTTTTCCTGTGTTGTCACGTGTTATTAAAGCCAGCGACAATATCACTTCCGGTCTGGCGTTAGATGGGCTAATAGACAACTTCCTAATGACTTTTTTCGGTCTTTTCTATATTTAGACGCCAATTTATCTTTAGATCTAGTCCTATTTCACATTAGCGCTCGGTAAATGCTTGAAAATATGTATGAGGGAGAAATTGAGTAAAAATCGCCGAATCGTGTTGTTTTAGTTGTTTGGAGAAAATTTTCGTTTATTCATCGTTCATTGAAATTCGAAAATTCGAAATTTTCGAAAAAGTATCAGGGAAGCATGGAAATTGAGGAGGCATTCACTGAAATTGAAAAATTCAAAATTTTCGAAAAAAGTATCAGAGGTGCATGAAAATCGAGGAGGTATTCACTGAAATTAAAAAATTCAAAATTTTCGAAAAAGTATCAGGGGAGCATGCAAATTCATCAGAAAATAATTCAAATAAAAATTAATTATTCATTATTAATTAAAGAAAATAAACATAGATACTAGAATATCTAATTACTTTACTATCAATTTTGGTTTTTGGATTTATAGAATTATGTGAATAGCTACGTAATTTGTGCAAAATATTCCTCTCTATTTATTTATAATTTATTTCCATTTGTGTACGTGGCAATGAATTTAATCTGCATTGCACATATTAAAGTGGTGAGTCTTTCCGCTTTTCTTTTTCTCTCTCACATTGAATTCCTATTGTCTTTTAACCCGATTTGTTGGAAATTCAATTAAAACCGGCCATGGACAAAGAATTGAAAGGTTTGTGGATTAAACAGATGTGGATAGGATAAAGTCATCCACACTATTGGAAAATTATACTAGGATTTTCAAGATCTTGTGGTTTTCAACAACAACAAAAAACTTGACAGTCAAAATCAGATAATTTTTAAAACGTTAAAAATGCTGGATATTTAATAATTATCGATGTGCAATTTTCATTATGAATCTAAAAATTCAACTTTTCAAAATGAATGAGAAATTTAGTCAGACTTTTAAACTGAAATTGAAAACTAAAATTCAAACTCGCAAAATTAAAAATTCAAATGTTATTGTGATTGACATTAAAACAAATCGTAAGCACCCTAATTTAGGTGATTAATTTTGTTGACGAGATCTACTGCGCACTCCGTGCGCTGAATTTGAATTTGGCGGTTCGACTCGACCAATGAGGAATTAGTCCTGGACGTTTCGAGGTATTTCGACTCGGGCGAACTTCATTTTTGTGTTTCTACTTTCATAATAAGGACGAGATCTACTGCGCACGCCGTGCGCCAAATTTGAATTTGGCGGTTCGACTCAACCAATGAGGAATTAGTCCTATGCGTTTCGAGATATTTCGACTCGGGCGAACTTCATTTTTGTCTTTCTACTTTCATGATAAGGATAATGAGGACCATAATAAGGATAACTGTTTTAATCGTGCAAAAATCAATATTTTGTTGAAAAAATTTCCTAAACATACTTCGAGAAAACATTAACATCAGTCGATTGATCAATAAATATCGATCATAGCTCCCCCAAATATTTCCTGCAATACTGATGGTAATCCCCATTTTTTGAATTTATTTTATAGGACATGCCTCATATTGCGTCACACTTCTCGTTTAAATTCCCAAGATAAAGAGTTTAGAAAAAGTAGCTGCCAAATGATGAGTTTCCATTTGAGATTGTCAATTTTGAACTTGAGATTGAAATTTTTGAAATTTTGGTAACTTTCCAGGTGTTCAAATGGATCATCAGGGATTAAAATTTTTTACAAATCAACGGCTCGATTTTCCAAATAAAAATTATTGGGAGTAGAAACCGCACCATTGGATACACCAACAAAAAAATTAAATCGATTGACCGTTTTGTTTTCGAGAAATAATTACCGAAAGTTGGTAAATTTCCAGAATAAAAATAGTTAGAATAGGAAATATACAGTTACATTTCAGCTGTCCATACACAATGCAATCAATAAAGTGAGACAATTTATTATTTATTTATTTATTTATTTATGAAGTGATATATTGTCAAAAGATCCTTTAAGGATCTTCTTCACGTATAGTCAAAACAAAAGTTTATGACCCTTTCTATAATTCGCAATCTATCGCAATTAATTTTCAATTAATATTTCAACGTGTTAATTAGTTAAAGTAATAGCCATAGAAAATTATTATATTCTATTTTATCGATGAATAAACAATATATTGTTTAAACAAATTAATGAAAAAAAATTTAGTCAATCGGCCTGAAATTTCTACCATCATTTTACATCAGCTTCAATAGTAAATTCTCAAAATTCCAACAAAATTTTATATTTTGGACTATATTTACAGAAATTTTTATTTTTCCCACGAGATACCGTCTTAATTATAAACTTTAATAATTAATCACCACAAAACGATGTGGGGAATCAGTCTGAAATTTTGCACAGGCATCTGTTATCGCTTCAAAAACATTCTCAAAATTTTAAACAATTCTTATATCTTCGCGAATATATTTCCAGTCCACCAACTTTTTGCAGAAAGTGTCACGCGACAACATCCTTAAGAAATAATCTTTAGGACCTTTTAATTGATAAAACACCTCCACCAGATATATCAGGTTCAATAATTGTACTTTATGTAGAGATATAGGTGTAGAGTCGAGTTACAAATGCAGAGTTACGTTTCGTCACATAATCTGATTCATACATGGACAAAGCTTCATGTCTGAATTGACCGCATCCTGTCTCGTGGTTCCAATGCCGTTTACCTACGTATATATTGTAACAATAAGCTCTAGTGTCAGATAAAATGAATGGAATTGAAGGATTGAGGCACGTGTAAACGATACGTGTGGTGATTCGTCTCGTTTCATGAAATCTTTGATAATAGTTTTTTATTTTGAGGATTTAACGAGTCAACAGAGTCAACAGAAGGCGCCAAACCAGTTTACACCAGTTTTTTTCCATGCTTTAATTACTCTATCAATGAAAAGGATTAATTGTTAGATAAAATGTTTACACAAGTCCTAAATGAGCTGATGCCAGAGATTATGCCAGTATATTTATAGCAAGCGTATTATAATCGAAATAATGGAGTTGTTCTATCTCTTCAGTTATTTTTTATTGCAGACTGAATCTGAAGATTACGGTTTAAGAACCTGTTTATTCTTGGCTAATGAGATTTAAAGCTGTTCATACATCCATATATAACCGAAATTATCGTTTTTTTATTTTTCTGGAAAATTTACTATGGGATTGACGTAAAAAAATGGAATGTTTTGGCGTTTTGTCATTATTTAATGACCCCGAAGTTCCAAAGTATTGCGACAATTTTTCCGCGTCACAACAAAAAGAATCACAAAATTGTAGAGAAAATGAATGAAAATTATCGCACCATCATAAGAATTTGTGAGTCATTAAATAATAAAAAAAAATGATGATAATAATATTGTATATAATAATAATATAATAATTATTATAAATAAACTATAATAAATTATAGAATTATTATTATATAATAATTATAATGATGAATAATGGTATTTTACAAAAAAAAAAAAACCTGAATTTTGGTTATTTATGGGTGTTAAACATCCTTAATGAATATTTATGTTTTTTACTGACGTCTGAGGCGATATTGTTTTAACAATTGGCATTCTTCTATTTTTTTTTCTTTGAGAACTTCTTCAGGAACTTCTTTTAAAGTTACAAGTTACACAGTTCTGTAGAGGGAGTGGTTTTTTTGTTCTCCTTTGACGATTCATCTTGTAATTCTCGTTTTGTCCCAGTTGATTTAATTAAATCTCTTCTAACGTCTTCAGTATTTTATTCGTGATTGATGATTTTGGACGAGCCGCAGTCGAGAGATAATTTTTTCGTCGCGATGTGCCGAAAAGTAACTTTTCAGGCACGGAAAGCGAAGCGGAGTGGCTTTCCCGCACTTGTTACGAAATATATTTCATATGGAAATGTTTTAGATGGAAAACTCATCGCGGGGGAAATATCACGAATAGATGCAGTGGAGTGTAATTTAAATAAATGAAATCAGCGCGGGTAAAAAAACCCTTCATTTTAAATATTTATCCCATCCTCCCCACACGGAGAGAAATATTACGCACTCGTTCGCTAAACTGTCAGGAAAAGTCCGGAAAGTTCAGTGAAAAAGTGCGTAACTGTTCCGTAATTCTGAATCTCGATTTTTTTTTCGAATTTAATATCAAATCTCATTGGTGACCTGTAATGATAAATGATAAATATGTGAACAGAATTTAATTTTCGTGAACAATCCGAGTTAAATCAAATTAAAAATACATTTTTACTCAGATAAAATTAGAATTAAACAAGTGGACAATAAATTTTTGCTAATTAACAATCCGAAATTGAACTGAAATATTTAATATTATATTTAATAAAAATTTATAATCTATTCCGCTATGAACGATCGAATAACTTTCCAAAATTCAAAGGCAAGGAAATAAAAGCAATACCTTTTTCTTTAAAAAATCTGTATTTCAGTACGGCTATCACTATAAAGATAATGAAATTCTTAAATACTAAGTATTGTACCAAAAGTCATCATATACAGTCTATAGGATAAATATTTGAGGAAACTGGAATGACGTAATGGCTGGAATCAGTAAAGGATCAATCTCAACATTTTTGTCTGTAGAAGAACAGTGAAAGAATTTGGATTTGTACCACCTCTCACGAATTCGCCTCAACTCGTACAGAAGCTGCTAACAATATTTAATAATAAATGGCAGTCACTGGGCTGTCCTTCAATAATACACCCAATGATCGTTTGACGTAGAGATATCGCCCCTTAAATCACTACCCAGGCCTCGATTCTGATACCAGGGCTGCATCTTCATCCTCCAGATTCATTGATAATCCAAAATTGTTCAACGATACGCCTTGTCCTTCTCGGCAAAGGCCAACAGATCGACACTGGGAATTGCTTCGAAATCGGTACATGAAGCCAATTCGTTTCCCTCATTGATGCGTAAAAATGCATTTGGCTGCATTCGGGATATACGATTGCTATTGTCGCAGATAATTCTGGCCAGCGTCACACGACGTATTTGAGTGAGTTGTTCATTTACGAATGGACGAGGCTGCGCTGCGGAATCGTAGAAATAACGATCAGTCCAACGAGTTCTGGCGAGTTGTTCGGATAACAAACATTTAAACGTTGGGCCCAAAATACTGTTTTCAACAGGCATCTCCGCCATACCACCGACGATCAGGTCGACGTCGTTCGGATGATTATAAAGTTCCGCCAATTTTCTCACAGTCTGTAATTCAAAGAATAATCAAAATTCTTTTTCATTCGATTTGAGTTATTTGAAGGTGTGAGTAGAAAATTTTAAAATTGGTATATTTGTCGATAGGTTCATTGAAAAAAAATAAATAAATAAAGGAGTCATATTCTTATTCATTTGTATGCAAGGACCCTGATGACAAATACAGAGTTCAGTAGAAAATTCAAACTATCTCTGACTAATCTATATTTTATGTAACACCGTGCAGAAACTCCAGAATGATCTGAATAAAATTTTTCTCTGAATAAAAAAGTTTCAGGTGAAACTTCAGGTAAACTGAAGAATATTTCTAAAATCGTAAATTTCTAATAGGAAATAAATTCGGAAATAAATTCGTGAGGAATAAATTTCTCACGGATATTCTACCGGAAGCAATAGGATTTTTTAAAATAGAATGCTCTCGTACGTGAAACCAGATGTTAAAAAAAACAATGAATAATAAAATACGAAAATACCTCTCGTGGAATATGATCTAGCATATCGTCGAACGTTTTTGCTGAGAGAAGTCCACAGTACTTTCGATAATGATTATAACCTGGAATGCCGTGATCACGGCCACGTTGAATATCTAAACTGATAATATCCAAGCCTAATTCATTATTACTCGTTCTGTAAAGACCTTGAGTCATCTGAAATTATAAGAACAAAATTGGAGTTATATTCATATAAATTTAAGAAAGTTTTGGAATAATTCTTTTCCTCTCGTGTTGAGATAATATATTGTCTACTTATTCGGAAGCTCATTAAATAAGCTTCAAAAAGGGTACGCCAATTATTTCAATTTTTGTTCAATTTTTATATTTTTATATTTTCAGGTGAATAAATAATAATATTAATGTACCATTTTTGAGGGCTTGATCGAGATTTTTTCAATGCCATCGATTGAGTCGAGAGTTTTATGTGTTACATTTTGAAAAATAATCATTTTGTTTAAATAAAATCCATAACAACTTCAATTATCCTCGCGAATACTCATGTATTTGATTTTTATGTACGAACTCATCGAATATGTCTTCAAAAATAACAGAGGGGAAATAAGAATTATAGAAAAAAGTCGGATACTGATTTTTTTAATCAACAAAAATTATTAGTGTAAATTGCACGCAAAGTATTTAGCTAAAAATATAAATAGCTTTTATATAAAACTTACAACAGGGGCGAAATTAATATCCATTTTTCCGGAAGTCTGGCTAGTCAGTCCACGAAGAAGACCATCAAACACTCCATCGCTCTCAATAATTTTTGGTTTGTAAAAGTACTCGGACAGCTTCAGAGATCCATTATTGCGCCTCTCATCATCAGTCATACTGTGTAACGCGAGTGTTATTGACATAAATATTTTGATATGAAGAATGTAAATTATGAGGGGGTGATCCCCCGAAAAAAATGTGTACAGTAGATTTCAGAACTTCAAGGGATTCCAGGAGATTCAAGGAAATTCCAGGGAATCCATAAAATTTTAAAGGCATTCATACTGTTTATGTTTTCCTGAATTATTCGTTTGATGCGTGTGTGAATTCTTCAATTTTTGTTGATAGGTACTGCAATCCCATGAAATTCATGAACTTTATGGAATTTAAAAATATTTCAAAATATTTCAAAAGATTTCACGAGATTTCACGGTACTTCACGAGGTTTGATAGCATTTCAATAACCTTGAATATCCCCTGTACACCAGATATCAAAAATTATTTTAGTTATTTTAGTTACTTAATTACACCCTTGGTAAATTGTAAAAATCAGGAATTTACCTCAACTGTCCTCGTTTCAAAGAATTCAAGAATCTCAGAACAGCAGTTGAGGCTTCATTGCTGACAGCTGGATCTTCGTAAGAATTATAATTCACTCTGTCTTGATCATTACTCGAGACGAATCCGAGAGTGCGAGCATATTTGCTCCCTAGAATGGTAGGTAACCACTCTTTGTAAGTAATATGCTGAATCTCGGCGATGACGATTCGTCTGCTTTCCTGGTACAACTTCTCGTCTGACCATGTTGGATTTATTTTCGAGAGCTCCTCCGCTATTCTGTTGTGTTCACGAAGCCAAATTGTATGCATCACGGCTAGGTGGGGTTCAAAATTTACCCGATCATCACCTGAACAGAAGAAATTCAATTATTTTTTTTTTATTGACAGTTACTGTCAATTTATGCTAATGATTATAAATTATTGATAGTTATTATCAATTCTTACGTCTTATCATACGCAAAAATATTCACATGGAGTATTTCAGGGCCGAAGATAATTTAATCGTTTTTATCTTTGGAAAAAAAAATGTTATAATAATTTCTCATGAAAATTCTTTAAACAATAAAATGCATCATAACAAGTCGAAATGGATTATCTCAAAATAATCCCCGAAAGTTTCAAATTTAAATTGCTTTTTTACAAAAAGCAGTTAAAGTTTTCTAGAGATTAATAATTGATAAAAAATTACCCGCTCTATAACAATTATCAGGATCTTCACAAACATCAGCAGAATTCTGAGCTCTTGGTAAATAAGAAAACCCATTCAGATTCTCGACTCGTAATTTTCCACCCTGGAATGTTCTCAATTCCTCTGCTCTGTCATTATCGGATCCATAGACAGTGGAACCATCCAAGAAATGTGTTACTTGATTCATCTGCTCCATGGGACCGAAACTGCAATCGGTCTTCAATACTGGCATTGATCGCACATAGTTCATGCAACGTATTGCATGTTGTCCATAGACAGGATCTTCCTCAGGTACTGAGATATGTGCACAGTGTGGATGGAGATAACGAGGAGCAGGAGAACGTCCGTCTGAGGAGCAACAGGAGATTGGCTCCTTCATCGTCACTGAATCAAAAAACATCTTTCAATTAATTAAACTGCTTTAAATTATTTTCTGCATTCTGCCTTCATCTTCTGCATCTATAGGCCGTAATCTTTGGCTTGAATTTTATCTTGTTAGTCTAAAATATTCCTAAATTTGAGTTTGAAATTCAGTTTGAAAAGTTTAGAACAATTTTTTTCAAATACATGAATAACAATTCCGTACAAAGAAAATTTTTATGAATTTAGATAATATTATTTTGGATAAAATCTGTCAATTGATATCCAAGGGCTCTGAACTGATTTTTCAATCATTATTATAATGATTATAAATTAATAACTAATTCCTTACCCATTTTACGTACAACAGTATGAGCCATATCATTAGCAATGAATTGACTCCACTGCATGACAGCAAGTGTTTTAAAGACATCTGACTGATCGTTACTCCTTGAAAGACGTGTGCTGACTAATCTAGCTCCCGGCAAAACGTGTGGCCTCTGCGATGCACCCCTTGGTTGTTGAATTCCTATTACATGTCGTGAATTTTATATAAAAAATTCATAAAGATCACAAGGATAATTTATTTACAGTCCTAGGAAACGAAAAGGAAAAGCAGAGCAAAACGGAGATTTTCACATCCGCAATAATCTTGAAGACTGGCAAAAGTAGCTCCACTTCTGACATCAGATTTTCTACCAAACTCTTGCATCCAATGGTTTTTATCGCATGTGAAAATTCGATTCTGCCTTGCTTCCTCCATTAATCAAAAAAATCTAAAATGAATAAACCGATGAAAGACCGACGCTTGCATTCTCCAAATAATTAGTCTTCAGTGCAAAACAAAAACGTCCAGTATCTGCTATGAAATATCCCTCGTGAAATAATGAAATCCTAATAAAATCCCAGATGGTCATGAACATGAAAAATGCCGAGTTCCCAGTCCTTAAAGTACTCCTAATTCTAAATAATTAATATATATCCGAATTATTTTTACATACACTATTCGGTGGATAGCACCTCCAGATCGACACTCGCTACTCGAAATTCTGTGTTCACTGACACAACATATTGATGTATCTTAAGTTTTTATGTGCATTAAAATAGCACCATTGCTGTAATACAAATCAAACAATACAGCTTTGTTAAATTAAAGAGATTGTACAGATAATTAGCGCTGCTCTGCTCCACTCCATCATTGCTACATGATTTAACGGCTAAAATTATTAATCAGAGATGATTCATGGTGGTGTCCTTAGATGTCAATGAATGTTCCTAGTTTTCAAAAAACTTCTCAAACAATTTATTAATGTTTGATCAACCCCTCACGTACGAGACTCGAGAACTGATGAATGAAGATGATAATAATGCGAAATTCAAGCTAATGAAGTTGTTCTTTTGAATTTTATCAGTGAAAACGTATTCATTTGATAAGATTATTATTTTGTGGGCTCACCCTTTTCATGCGTGAGGGGTCAATATGTAGTGGCACGAGGAGACAAGTGCAATGGAAATTGATTGATTATTTTGCAATTATCTTCAAAGGATCGAGTTTAAAGGGAATTTATTGAGAGACCTTTTCGATAATCTTTTGAATTTCTGCGTGAATTTATGGCATGCATTTTCGTTTATTAATATCTGCATTATAATTAACGATAATAATAATCATTTTTCTGCAAAGTCTGAACATTTCTTTAATATGAAGACCGAGTAGAAGATTTCTTCGTGATTAATCTCGACCGATCTATTTCCAAGATAAACATTGTCTCCCGTTTTTCCACTCCACAAGAGAGTTTATAACTATTAATGAGTTAATTAGCGATTTACCATCTGCATATGAGGGAAATAGGATTCTTGAATAGGCAGTCAGGGCACTCCCCCAGCGTGGATTATCAGGGTTATTGCAAGATCCATCAATAGTACGATAAGGATAATTCGATCTGCAAGACACTCGTTGTTTTGCAGCGCAAGCGTCTCCAACAGTTGTACCATTTAGCTTGGATTTAGACACGAAGTGAGCACATGCTTCATCGCTGACACCAAATCTGCAAACATAATTTCATGACGAAACATTGATTTTTTAATGACTTGTTTATCTGCGAGTGCTCAGTTCAATAAAAAACAGGGAAAGATTTTCCGCTGGGAAATCGAATAAGAACTGCTTTTCATGTTTACTGCTGATTTTCTTTTAGAAACTGATCAGACTGACACGAGGACATAAATCGTTATGTTTTCTTACGTCAATTCCATTGTAAGTTTCTCAGAAGAATAAAAAAACCGTAATTTCGACTATATATGACTCCAAGCTGACTCGGAATGTCAATTCACTGCCAGTATGGATTCTAATGAAATTATCTTTATTTTATCTCCACCTTTCTGGCAGCTCTCATTTTTTTAAGAAAAAATATTAAGGCTCAGGTGGATTATCTAGAAAAGATAATTTACTCCGAAATGCGAATTCCTAATTACTTTGGCAATTAATCGTTTTTTTGAATAATTGTCGTCAACAACTAGGCCGCTAGCTAACAATTATCGGAAAAAACGATTAATTGACGGAGTAATTAGAAGTCCCAATTTTGAAGTAAATTATCTTTTCCAGACAGTCCATCCGGGCCTTAATGCAAAATTGAATGTGTTCCATCAATTCCAAGGGGCTGACTACAAATTGGACTTGCAGTTGTCCTAGTTTACCACTTGGCTACTGATTTCACTCTTAAGAGAATTCAAGGAGAACCTTTTATTCGCGGTCTAATGAAGATATTTATGGACGTTGAGGAGGATATTTAAAATTAAATAATGGTTGATTTTACCTTTGACAATATTGCTGGACAAGATACATGGAAGCTTTTGTTACAACTTCAGCCTGTAATTGCAGGTTGACAGCTTCTTCATTTGGAGATGCATACAAATACTGAGAGTGGGTGGGTGTATCATCAGTCAATCCGATCTGAGAATCGATAAGATTTTTTTCTAATCTAGCCAATTGATCGCACTGTCTAATTCCGTAATTGACGGAGTGATTTATAGCTCTTTCATTTATTGGCGGGAGGTTCAAAGTCTCAGCTTCCTGGGGGTCGCGGAGAAGAGCGCCGTGGGTTTTTGCATCGTCTGAATGAACCATAAAATAAAAATTTGGAAAGTTAGTAAAATTGAACAAAATAAAAATCAAATATAATAAAAATAAAAATAAAATGTAAAAAAAAATTATGGGTTTTTTAAATTAAATATTTTTCATCTCTGATTTTTATTTTTTTACTATTTTTTCGATCTATTCCTTGAAAATGCGAGGGTAGGAATTAATTTCTTCATTATTTATAATATATCAATTTATAAAAGTTTCGAGAGAGATTTAAAAATATAAATTTTTGTTTTTTTGCTGATCGCGTCTCTCTATTTTCTGCGATTGATATTGAATGATAATGAGAAAAATAAAAAATAAGAAATAAAAAAGAATTTAAAAAAAAACAAATAAAAAAAAGAAATAAGAGAGAATAAAAAAATAAGAAAATGGAGAATACCCTATAACGAAACTAGTATTTATAATTCAATAAATAAACTTTTCTTTATTTTATGACACGTTTGCGAACTAGGAATCAACATTAAATATTAGAATCATAAGATGATCGACATGAAGTTCGTTGAGAGGAATTTATATTTCCATCTCTCCACATTCTTATAATTTCCTCTCAATGAAATAATTTTAAAGCAAGAAAGCAAAACACATTTTTGAAATTACAGAAGATATATCCCCAAAATCTCCTGCAATGTTTCAATCAACTCCCTCTCCCTCTTAATCAACTTATGATTATCATTACGTACCAAATCCGTGCTGCTGAAAGTACAGAGAAATCCTTTCATCATGTATAGCCTGTGGATGCCCTAGGATTCCCAAAGCTTGCAGAAGAATCCATAAGACTGCCACGATGGCAATTGCCGCCGCCATTAGTGCACCAGCTGAAGAAAATTAAATATTATTACTAAAGGATTTTGTAAAAATCATAAATAAATCTTAGCGTGATAGCGACGCAGTGATAATTCACTCAGACAAAAATTACAAAAATATTCTTGGATCATCTGCTTCTGCCGAGCGACTGGTTCACCAAAGTGAATTACATTCTTAGACTTCAACCAAAAGGACACGTTTGCTATTATTAAGTAAATTTATGTTTTTCTAATAGTCAAGACTTCAACTCGTGCTGACATTCGCGGAAATTTTTTTAAAAAACCGTGACATGCGCTGATATTTTTCCTTAATATTTATTGAACTCAAAATGAAAATACATAATTTAATCGTTAAAAATCAATGTAATTTGTTCTCTCCATGAAATTTATTCCGTTAAGTTTCTTCTGCAGAAAGTGTTCGTTATAAATTTATATAAATTGTTACATTTTTAATTTTTAGTTTATACGTTGGAATATTTGATATTTTATTTTTCTTTTTGAAATGAACCAAGGCTAAGCATTATATCAATTTATTTTTGTTTTGTTTAATGTTTAAATGCGCTCATTGTACCTCACTTTATTAGTTAGGTTTATTTATCAATCGATATGTTAACAATCAGCACGACCTTCACGTGAATTGCCGTGTGGTGGCGAGTCATAATTAGATACGAATTTGAAAAACCAATAGATAGATGTGTTTTTGTGGGAGTTTTGAAAACAAAATTTGTTTGAATAGAGACGTCACCTGGCAAACACGACGTGACTGGCTGGTTACGATTGAAAAATTGCATTTTCAAACTTTCTGGATTATAAAAAAGTAAGACGCATTAGAAAGTACTCTTCTTCCCACGTGTCGTACAAAATTTTTCGACACACCGTGTGTAAAGTGGCACTTTGCGCACGCTCCAAGGTGCGCAAAATACCACTTCCCGCACTGTATGACGAAATAGCATATTTTTTAGTGCTATAAACCTCCCACACCCCCAAAAACGCTTACCCGCAATGGGATGGAAATATACTGCGCAAAGTGACATTTTGCGCACGCTTTATACACATCATGATGAAATTTATATATTTCGATAAGATTGTGGGAAAGTGTTCTTAGCTAGTGAGAGGTTTATACCACGACTCCAAAGACACTTTCCCGAAATCGTATCGAAATGTACTATTACGGCACTCGTGAAAAAAAAACTTTTTGACGAATGGTTTGTAATAACTCATTAAAAAGTATTTTTTTTCCATGTATCTTACAAAATTTTTGAATACCCTGTTTGAAAGTGACATTTTACGCACGCTCCGCATACACATTAAGACGACATTAGTAAATTCCGATACGAATACGGAAAAGTGTTTGTCTGGCGTGCGGTAACCTCGGCCAACAATTCCATGTGATCTGAGACATTTCTTGTTTTACCAGCCTAGGTATGTAATATCCTAATTTAGATTCATGAGAGATTTATAACACAAGCCCAAAAACCCTTTCCCACACTTACGCACCCGTGAAAAAAATGCTCTTTTCATCACGATGCGCCGAAAAGTAGTTTTTCATGCACGCCCCGCAAAAAATGGCATTCCCACACAAGGCGGAGAAAAACATTGTTCACAACCCGTGCAGAAAGTAATTTTTTCCATGTGAAATTATTAATCGCTTTTCCACACTTGTTACGAAATATACTATTTCGACACTCGTCTCATGAACGACCGTATAAATAGGTGTCAGAGGGCCTCACCTAAATTGCTCTTCTTCACAGGTTGAAAATTCGTAAATACCGCCTTGAGGCATTGAATGGCCATTTTACCCGCTACCTCCGTCCGTTAGGTGTCAAGTACCGCCACAGACTCGGGCAATGGTGAATCGTCGACGTTACGTTTTCCCTCACAATATTTATTAAAAATTCATGAAAAATAGGATCCAATAACGCCAATATCGTCTCAAACAACGAATTGCTTATCAATATTATCAATATATCAATTTTCCAATGAAAATTAAATATATCTAAATAATTGTAAAGAGCTCTATTGTTATTCTGAGCGTTCGCTCCCACAAAACAACTGACAACTGAAAATCACACGGAGAAAACAGTCGAGTAACACAGAGTGCGCATGCGCAGTTGAAAAATTCTTAAACTGTCACCAATCATGCACCAGGTACAGTACAATTCAAAAGTTTGCCAGCGCATTATTATCCCATTACATGCATTTCAATCTGAGAAAGTGATTGAAACTATTAAAAATGACTGAACAGCTGTTACTTTGAGTCTTCGAATATGCACACACACCGAGGAAAGTTCTCGATTTTTTACACCACCCCCGGCATCCAAAAATAATCTCAAAATAATCTAAAAATAATATATTACTTTGAATTGATAATCCGGTATCTAACGACCTGTCAAAACTGTAATCAATGCGCATCGATCAATTGAATAATTTGTTTATTCCACTCATTCATTCATTAATTCATTTCGACTCACCCCAGCTCTTTGAACTTTTTTGTTTCAGAAGTGGTGAATGATAAATCGAGGGTGATTGGTTATATCGTAAGTTTTCCTGATTGAGAAAAAAGAGATGATTGCATCCTGGGGACGATTGTCTTTAGGAAAACATGGGACTGATCTTTGAATCAATTTATTCTCCTGGTAACACCTGCAGCAGTAAAATCACCCCTTTGGGGTTTTTTTCTGTTTAATTTATATGCAATTGGGATGAATTTGAGCTATTAGTGAGGGAAGTATGATATTAAATAATTTTTACTCGGTGATAACGATTTATGGAATTCGCATGCATCAGGAGATTCCATTTGCTTTCAGTGAACTTGCCTGACGAGCATGTGATTGCTGCGTGATATTTGGATACAGGTGGAGAGGGGAGCAAGGACGGGGCAATATTCATGCGAATCGCTGAGAAAAATATACACCAAGAATAATGGATATTTGCGTTGGTGTTATCCAAGGAATACGTAATTCAGTCGCACCTCGTATTCTCATATTTAATCACGATGATTGATTAGAAGAGATATGAAATAATAGTACACTCTAAATTCCTTTTTTAATTCTGTTTTCAATTTCTTTTTCCTTCAAAAAGTCCATGACTTTGAATGAAATTTGAATTCAAATCCCTCACAAATTTTCTCACCGTAAAATTCTTGAAAATTGGGGAAAATCGAAAAAACGAAACGAAAATAATCAATAGAACAAAACGAATAGGATTTCTGGAATGTTGCAAATATGAAGAAAGAGACTGTGAGGAGTTCGTGAAAATCTTTTTTTAAATTCTTTATTTATTAAATAAGATATTAGCATCTTATCATCATCCCTCATAAAAAATTCATGCAATTAATTATATGGGAAATGTCTGAAAATAGACATTTGGACTCGTCATGATTCATATTTCATATTCCATCGAGATAATTCGAAAAATTCTGAGGCTTGCACTGACTCATTCCGTACTATCCTGAAACTATTAGAATACAATTTTCCCTCGTCATATTTTCTCTATCCTTGTTCCTTGTTTCAATTGAAATTGATTTATTTTTTTTGGTAGGGGATGCAGATTCAGGAAATGTCTATTCGTTTTTATCTTCCTTTTTATTTCTAATCCTCTCTGTATTTTTCATTTATTAAATCATCAACCTATTACTGAAAACCGATAATAATACCTAGAACTAATTATAGGAGAAGAACAAATTGAATTGCAGTCGCAATTACAGTTTTATCAAAAGTCCATTTAGAATATTATTTTGTAAAAATTCAATTAATCAAACATTTTTCTGTTTCATTTTAGATTAAACAAATCTATTGCCATCATTAGTGAATTCTTGGGTAACTGTTCGATAAAATTTTAAATCAATGTAACCCAAATCCTAGGTTTGAAAATTTTGTATTTTATTTATTATAGGCCAATTAAACCTCTGAAGTTAAAAAAAGCTTAAGGCCCGGGTGGACTACCTATAGAACGTCATCTTTTGTTTAAATTTTATCTTTCTAGCCTAAAATACATAAAAATTTGGGATAAGTTTTGAGGTCACGAAAATCACTGGATTTGGCATGAAAAAATAATGAAAAAAAAGAGGAAAAAATTTTGAAGGGCGCTAAAG